CTCGCGGCCAGTGGCGTCGAAGCTTTCCTGGGCGGCCTGTCGGCGCGCTTCGGCTCGGCCGCGTCACCCGCCGCGGCGGCCGATGAGCCGCAGCCGGCCCAGACGGGCGGCGCTGACACCGGAAGCGCGGATCCATGGGTCGCGGCGGCGCGCGCGATCGAGCAGCGGCGCTCCAGCTGCAAGCGCGAGGCAGAGAGGGAGCGCGTCGACCAGCGCAGGTGGGCAGGGGCGGGGGTAGGCACGTGGAGAGGTTGGGAGGCGCAGGGGGGTGTGTCAGGATGTCGTGCATGCTGGTGAAGGAGCGGGTCGCGCTTCCTGCTTTTGCGTCATGCCCACGTTAGCCCGTGCGTAAGACATCACTCATTCGGCCCAACGCTATTCCACCCTCAATGCCGCCACTTCATCCCCTGCTGCGGCCCCCCTTCTTCCGCCAGGGCGCTTCTGCCGCAGCGGCGCGTCTGGGCGCCGCCGCCGCCCCCCCACCTGCTAGCCGCGTTCCGCCACAAGCTCTCCGAGTTTTTCGAGGCCGATTTCGAAAAGCATGTCGGTGGCGTCGTGGCCAAGGCGGTGGACGCCGTCTGCAGGCAGCAGAGGGAGGCGCGGGAGGCGGAGGCGAGGCGGCAGCAGGCGCGCGCCGTGGAGGAGGCGGCGGCGGAGGCAGCGCGGCGCGTGCGCGAGGGCGAGCGGGTGCAGCGCGATCAGGAGCTGCAGCGGCTGGCGGTACTGCAGCGCAAGCAGGAGGAGGAGCAGCAGGAGGCGCGGCAGCGGCAGGAGCAGTGGGAGCAGCAGCGGCAGCAGCAGGAGGAGGAGCGGCAGCGGCAGGCGCAAGAGCAGGAGGAGGAGGAGCGGCGGCAGAAGCAAAAGCGCGAGGAGGAGGAGCGGCGAAAGGAGGAGGAGCAGCAGCGGCGGCAGCGAGAAGAGGCCAGGCGCATTCAGGGGCTGCAACAGCAGCAGCAGCAGCAGCAGCAGCAGCAGCGGGAGCAGCGGCAGCAGCAGCGGGAGCAGCAGCAGCAGCGGGAGCAGCAGCAGGAGGAGGAGCAGCAGCAGGAGGAGGAGCAGCAGGCTAAGCTGGCCGAGCGGGTGTCGCCGCCTGCCGCTGACCTTGTGGCAGTGGCCTTTCCTCAAGGCACAGCAGCCCAGGCGGCGGCGGGGCAGCAGCAGCAGCAGCAGCAGCAGCAGCAACAGCAGCAGAAGCGGGCTCGCGACAGCCCAGAGGCTGACAAAGCCAATGGAGGCACGGTGGTTGGGGAGGAGGAGGAGGAGGCGGAGGAGGAGGAGGAGCCTCCAGAGGACTCGGACGACGACTCTTGGGGCGCGGAGGAGCGGCCCGCCAAGAAGCCCAAGGCGGCTGCAAAGCCCAAGCAGCAGCAGAAGCAGCAGAAGCAGCAGCGGCGCCAGCAGAAGCGGCTGCCGCGGAAGCAGCAGCGGGGGTCCGATGACCAGGAGGCGAGTGGCTCAGGCTCCGAGGGGAGCGAGGACGACGGCCCCCAGCAGGAGCGACGCGAGCAGCAGCAGCAGCAGCAGCAGCTTGGGGCGCGCCCCGACCGGCGGCATTCGCACGACGGGCCAGCAGCCAGGCAGCCGGCCCCGGCCGGCGGCGACGGCGGCAGCGACGACCTGGCGGCGCTGCAGCGCAGCTTGTCGGGCTTTGACGCGCGGCAGCGCGACGCCGCGCTGCAGCACCGGATGAAGATGGCCGTTGACGCGCTGCTCAGCTGGGACGAGAAGGTGCGGGGGGACTTAGTGGGACCAGGGCAATTACAAATTGGGGGTGGGAGGGGAGGGGGATGGGCGCGGCCGCATGATCAGCGGCTGATGCATTGGCCTGACCATGCGGCACAGCTCTTGGCAACCTTCCAGGACCTGAGTGTCTTCCCTGGTACCCCTCACTGCCCCGGCCTGCTGCGCCCCGGCAGCTGGGGCTCGCGCCATTGGCACCCTCGCCGAACCCCCGGTCACCTTGGCCGCCCGGTCGCATGGTTCCCACAATGCGTATGCCGCACCCTCGCACGACCATTGTGTCCCGCTAGCTGGCTTCCCAACTCTCATGTCTAGCCCCCATCTGCTGCCACCGCCACCGCTGCCACCACTGCTCTCGCCTCCCTCTGTGTCAGTTTGCTGAGGCGGCGTTCCTGGATGACCCTCGCGACAGCATGGACCGGCCCTACGCCACCATGTACAACCAGCTGGTGCAGCAGCCCATGTGGCTCAAGGAAATCAGGCACAAGCTGACCAAGCGGCGGTACGCGTCAGAGACCCACCGCCCCGCGGAGCCCAAGGTCCACGACGCCGCGTCGTGGGGGCGCTTCTGGACCGACGTGGCGCTCATTGTGCAGAACTGCCGCATCTTCAACGAGGGGTCGCCCAACGCGTACCAGCGGTGGCTGGGGGGCCCGTGCGTTGACCAGCTGGCGGCGTGCGTGGCGGCGGTCAAGGCGGCGGTGCAGGAGGGGCGGCGGCCCGAGGTGGGCCAGTTTGACCCCGGGCCGCCGCCGGACTCCTGATTTTGCCGCGGGGTGCCGTGGATCGTGGGTTAATTTCAGAGGCATGCGATGCTGCTGCTATTCCCGGGTGCTGGTGCATGGGGTGGCGGGTGGGGGAAGTCAGAACGCCTCTTTTTTGTTTGCTCGCTTTGCGTGCATTGCATTCCCTTGATGCCGCAATTCTGCGGCTGCTGGCATACGCAGCATTCCATCATGTCATTCCTGTTCATGTAATACGTTCTCAGGCGCTGCCTGTCATCAACTGGGATGCGCATGGCTGTGACCAATCTATCCAGAGTCAGTGTCCAGCCGGGTGTGCTTACAGCCAGCCAGCATAACAACCTGGTTGCTTCTCACCAGCATTTCTGGTCCAGGAGGGAGGGTTACACCATACAGGAAAAAAAGGGGCAAGCAGGTGGCCAGGAACAGAATAACCGCGTTTGACATGCAATGCTCGTTGTCAAATGCCTAAACCAACTCCCGAGCATAACGCTCACGCCCAGCCACGGACAAACGGTCACACGTGCATCCTGAGCGCTGCCGGGTACATCAGCCTGGGGGCGGTCGGCACAGCACCACAAATCGTCCCCAGCCAGACCCAGCCGCATTCGACCTGGTCGGCTGACTGGCACATACATCGCCCCTGGATATACAGGGCCTAGCGCTGGCCCTCGGGCGAACACCCACGACCAGCCAGCCGCCCTGAAGCAACCCCGCCTCCGGCCGCGCTGCCGCCCGCCGTCTACTTTTTGCTGGAGCCGAACCCCCCAAACCCCATCATCGCCATCATGTCGGGGTCCATGCCACCCCCCTCCTCGCCCTCGCCCTCGGCCCCCCGCTTGGCCTCCTTCTTGGCCCGCTTCCGCTCCTGCCGCTCGCGCTCCGCGGCCGCCTCAGCCTCTGCAAGGCGGCGGTCGATGCCGTCAGGCAGGTAGTCCTCGGGGTTGGAGGCGGACGCAGTCTCCTTGTGCATCTTCAAACGGTTCTTCACCTGGGGTAAAGCGGGATGTCGGGGTGTGGGCCAGGACGAAAAGCATCGTCTTGGGAGCGCGGAAGAGTGCGTGGTGACGCTGCGACGCCATACGGTGCACAAACATGCATTGCGGCGCCAACGGCGTACGCTGTATCTGGCTGCTTTGTGCTTGAGAGTTTGCGAGTGGGGCGGGACATTCCCGGGGGCCGCGGCGCAAACACCCGCGTTTGAGCACACCCATCGCAGAACGCACCGCACCACAGCGCGCCGCCCCCTGCGCCGCTGCCCACCTGCTCGACGGTGCTCTTTTCAACCGTCATGCTCATGCCCAGCGCCCGGTTGTGGTACTTGCCTGGGGGAGGTTTCGTGGGGATGGTGGTGGTTTGGTTCGAGTGGGGAGCATGCCGCCGTGCGCGCGCAGCAGTGGGGGACGCAGCCAGGGGCAACGCCAATGGTCGTTAAACGCAGGCGCAAATGCGATGGTGAAACACAGGTGCCGTTTGAGGCTGCGACTCCATGGCTGCAGAGGGCGGAGGTGCCAGACAGAGCAGGTGCTCTCCCATGCTCCGCCGCCGCAGCACAACAGCATGCACCGTCCCGCCGTCCCGCGGTCCCACCGTTAATGTGGTCGAGGTACGACTGGCTGTCCCGCAGCACGCAGTCGCACACGCTGCAGTAGTAGCCCGCCTGCTGGCTGAGGGGGGTGTTGAGGCCGATGACCTGGCGGCAGGGGGTTGGGGGAGGGAGGTTCGAGAGGCCTGGTAAGGGGGGGATCTGGGGGTGGGCCATGGCATTGCGAGAGCCATGGCAGGGGCCCAGGTGTGCGTTCGCAAGGCGCGGGTTCTTAACCGTGGGAAACCCGTGAGCATGGCGGAAGCAGAGCACGTTTGAATCGCCACCCCGCTGCTGCGCGTGATGTCCCACCCACCCGCCGTCCTGCATCCTGCACCCCTGCAGTGCAGCACCGCCCCAACCCACAACCCCGCCCCATCGCACAGCCGAGCCCCACGCTCGCGGCGCGTGCGTGCGCGCAGGCGTGCGACCGCGCGCACCTGGGCTTTGCCGATGCGCGACGTGAGGTCGAGTTGGTACTCGCGCATCTTCAGGGTCGACCGCTCCACGATCAGACCCTTTGAGTTTGTTGAGAGGGGTGGCAGCAGGTGGACAATCGGGGGTTGGAATTTGTACGAGTGGGGGACGACAGGGAGTGGGTGTCTGGCATGGGCAGGCGAGCAGCGGAAGAATAGGGGGAGATGTCAGGGAATTGTGAGGCGCGGGCGTCTCAAGGCCTCAAGAAACACCGGCGCAGTGCCCCTTGCCGCCCGGCTGGCGTGGCAGGAGCGAGGGCACCGATAGCCACTGCTACCACGCCTGTTGCAAGCTCCGCCGCCGATGGCGTGACGTGACGCCGAACCGGGGCCGAATCGGGCCCAAACCACTGCCAGATCTCTGCGGGCAGGGAAGGCAGCGAGCCGGGCGAGCAGCGCAACGCGAGGCCCTACCTGGTGCAGAGGGTCGCGCTCCAGCCGCTTGCGCTTCTTGATGTCCAGTGCGGTCTCCTCCGCCTCCTGCGCCTGCATGGCAGCATACCGTCGAGCAGGGTGGCGTGTTCCATTCATCGCGAGACCGGCAGCACCGCAACCATGCCCGGCTCAAAAACGGGTCGCCGCAAGGCAAGCCGTCTGCATGCGCGAGCGCCCGCTTGCCCTGGAAGCCGGGCCAAGCGGCTGGCTGCTGCGGTGGTTGTCAACCCTGGTGCGCACCTCCTTCTCCCTCTTGTCGGCTTTCTCTGCATACTCCTCCTTGTCCCACACGCGGCGCGCTGTGTTGTCAACCCCCGCTGCTGAAGACTTGCCCATGGCTGCTGCCTGCTGCTGACCCTGCGTGCGGCTGCCTGCGCTGGCGGATATGCCCCTGGCAGCGCCTCGCAGAGACGGCGGCGGCTGCTGTGCTGGTGGCGCGCTGCTCTGTGCTCCTCGCAAGGCAGCAGTGGCGCGGCGCGGCGACGCACGCGCAGGTGCCTGAGCTGACGCCAGCTACAATAGCTGGGGTGATAGGACACGAAGCAAAGTTCCGCACGGCTTGTTTGCTACGCAGTGGCCTGCAGACGCTCTAGAGTGCCGCGGGGTGCAATCGCGCAACTTGGCGTGGGGAGGTGATCGTAAGCGAGCTGACTACACGAGAAAAAATTGCGAGTGTGCATCCACAAGGGCACGATGCGGGCAAACGCAACTCTTGGCGAAGCCCAGCTGCCAACCAGCTTCTCCCAGCTCAGCTACGGAAGAGCAAAGTTGCACAGCGATGGTGCACGTGTGACGTCGAGTGCATGTGATTGTTGCTGAACACCCGCGCCGTTCAAAGGCAGCAGCAACGCGTTGAACACACACCATGCAGCTCGACCCTGCCTGTGCGCGCCTGCAACGCTGCACTCCGCAGTACGGTCGTCGCTCGACCGCATAGGCCTGTGACTACCGGCATACCGCTGCGATACCGGTGTTACACCAGGGCATCACGCAGTTGTCAGGTCCCTTCAACAGTCAAACCAGCGGTCAACGCAGCTGCTGAGCTGCAAGGCAAGCGTGATGCGGCGGCGCGAGCCCAGCGGTATCAGCAGCGCGATCAAGAGCCTAAAACGACAGCAGCAGCGCGGTGAGGCCGCAGCCCCCTTGGATCTGCTGGCTGCAGCTACCTCAGATGAGCCAGACCTGCTTGAAAAGGTGCGCCTGCATGTGGGCACACACATGAAATCACCTGCAGTCCCCAGGGAGGGAGCGGCACGGCGGGTGACGCCCCTTAGCTTGCGCATGCCTGATAGCGACTCCGCATACAGCGTTGTTGAACCGGGAGCCTGCGGTCAATATGCAGGCCAACAGGATCCAGGGGTTCCTCAGGCAGCAGCGCGGCCGCACACGGGCCGCAGCTGGCAAGGGCGCCTGGCTGGCGATGGCACGAGACCTCTCAGAGGAAGGGTAGGAGCCTCAGCAGCTGGCTCTTGTAAGCGAAGCCTGAAGGCGTCGCCGTGGTCACATGTTTACTCATTGCTGTATGTGCGCACTGCATGTACTCCAGCACAGGCCGTACGCAGCAGAGGTTCGCAGTGTCTCGCGCGTAAGCGCGTTGAATGGATGCATGCGCAAAATCCTCTCTGTCGCAGGCGTGCTGTGGAAGCGCAGCTGCTGCAGCTGCTTGAACACTCAGCTGCCACCTGCCCCCTGCTGGCGACGGTCCTGCGTGACCATGCAGCCGCCTTGTCAGCTGGTGCAGCCGCCGTGAGGGAGATGAGGACCAGCATGCTGAGTCGTGTCAAGGACCTTTCTTCCGCCAGCAGCGCGGCAGTCGACAGCGATTACACAGCAGCAGCACCAGCAGCGGCAGCATGCGGCGGCAGCAAGCGTCACACTCGCGCACAGCAGCAGCCACTGCACGAATGCCTCAGGCGTGAGGCGGCAGAGCTGAGATCGGAGCTGGCTGCCCAGTCAGCGAGGCTGGAGGCTGACGCGCAAGCGTTGGCGGCAGAGGGGTGCTGTGACACAGCAGCTTTGAGCTTGGATGTTGCTGAGGTTGCTGAGCTGGACAGCAGCAAGGGCGATGCCGAAGAGGAGGCTACGAAAGGGTGCTCGGACGAAGCGCAGGGCGGTTGCAGCAGGTGCAGCAGCGGGCGCAGCGAAAGAGGGGAGGTAGCTGCCAATGACGATAAGCTTGACGCATTGCTTTGCCGTTTCGTCATGGCGCCTACGGCCACCAAAGCGAGAGTGAGGCTTGCCTACAAGGCGATGGCGGCAGACCATGTGCGGCAGATGGGGGAGTGGCAGCAGCAGGCGGTTGAGGCGGATCTGGGTGCTGCTGGCGCTGATGCTGCACAGGGTCACTCTGGTGAGATACGTATACATAGGTCAATTGGTCATCGCGCGAGCGCGTGTGCACGCCTGCCAGTTCAAGTGCCCTGACACTGTTGCAGAGGACAACACTCTGCGACTCACCTTCCTCTGGCAGGTGGCTGGTCGCGAGACGACCATTCTCTGTTTCATGCCAGCCGAGTACGCGCGCACCACGCGGCTGCTACGTCCACGCGTGGCGGCGGCTCGGAAGCGGTGCTGTCACACTTGGCGCTGCTCATTCCTGGGAAGACATACGCAGAAATCCAGGACCACGAGCGGTGGTGAGCGGCAGTTGACACAGTAGCAGCCGCTGGCTCACTGCTGAGTGCTAGGCTTGCTGAGCTGAACCCTGCGGAGCCGAGCATGATCGTGCTGATGTGGTGAACGCCGCCTGGTGTGATTTCAATCATTCCCATGTCTAGCTCGCTAAGTAAGCGTGATCCGCCCACAATGAAACCTCAGGTACCTGCAGCATTGCCTGCTGCAACGGCGGCGCCGCGATCTCGTGGCATCTTGGGAGCGCCGGCGCGCCAGCTTCTTTGCAGATTCCGAGCAGCTGCTGTCAGATGCAGCAGAGCTGGAGTCGGTGGGCGCAGAGCAGGCAGCAGTGCGGGTCCGCTGGCAGGCAGCTAGTGAAAAGCTGCGTGGCTGCGTGCAGGAGTGGCAGGTGGCTCGAGCGGAGCAGCGGAAGGTGGAGGAACAGCGAGATCTCGAGGCAAACAGGCGGGCGGCACAGGAAGAAGAGCGCCAACGCGAAGCGGAGCTGCGCCGGAGGGCCGACGAGAGCGAGGCGCTGAGCACATTTCAGCTGCAGAGAGCCGAGGCAGGGGCCGCAGCGCAAGCAGCGGCCGAGGCGACGGCGCGCCGTGCGGCAGCCGAGACGGCCGCGCGCGTCCGGCGGGGGCGCCCGGCGGTCGCGGCGCGGCAGGCGGTCGCGCAAGACCAGGTGGTCCAGCGCCAGGAGGCGCGCGCACGCGCGGAGGCGGCGGCTGCTGAGCGGCGCAGGCGTCTGGATGAGTCTGTGCACCACCCCTCCGCTCCGGCCGACCCCGCACGCACGGTCGGCCCGACAGAGTCTAGCAGAGCGCAGCCCGAGGCGCATGGCGCGGCCTTTCGAGCCGTGCACGGCTTCACCACTGCGCAGGTGCTGAGTGACCTGCGATTCAGGGCGCTCGAGGCCCTGGGCGGCGCGGGGCTGAGGGGCAGCCCAGCGTGCGCGGCGGCGGTGGCGGCGCTCGCGCCGGTGAGGGCGGCGAGGGTCGACACGCTGAGCAGTGCGCAGCGGGCGGACGCGGCGGCGCGGAGGGGGGCTCTGTGATCTGCGCACGCTTCTGGCTGGCCTGCCCCTTGTGTCTGATGCCTTGCGCTTTACTCAAATCATGACTGGAATGTAGCTGGGTATCTTGCTTTGTGGGTGCAGTTGAGATTAGCGAAGCCTTGTTACATGGACGCCTCGGATGTGGCTGATGATGGGGGTGAGTGGGTTCTGTTTGACGCTACTGCTCCTGCGGCAGGCGTTGCAGCCTGTGAATAGAATCAGCGTTTGCAGCTGAAGAAATGTCAAACAAGCAGGCATGCAGGCTGCGACATGCAGCACGGCGTCTGATTCATTTGACTATGCACGCCGCCAGCGCAGCCGGCAAAGCAGGCGTACTTTCGCCCAAATGGCTGCCCGTGAACAGACTAAGGAGCGTCTATTGTGTCAACGTGCACTCAGCAAGCAGTAGCAGCAGCCACGGCCGCCTACGGCTTGCCCGCCACCTTCGGCGGCAGCTGGGACAGCTGCGGCTCGTTGCCGCCCGCGGCTCCAGCAGGCTCCAGCCCCCGCCCCCGCGGTCGCACCGCTCGCGGCCGCGCCGCCTGCAGCAGCGCCGTCAGGCCCCCGTGCCCGACCCCCGCCACCCGCGCCGCCGCCGCGAGCGTCGCGGGCCGAGCCTTCGCCAGCGCCTCCCGCTCCTCGGACGACAAACCTTGGACCGCGCCGTAGTCCAGATCGTGAGGCAGCTCCAGCGCCTCGTCAGCGCGGAGCCGCGAGATCTCCTCCTCCTGGCGCGCCTCGTAAGGCGCATACAGCACGTCCGCCGCCGCCGTAGCCGCTGCGCTGCGCAGCGCGCCTCCTGGGAGCGCCGCCAGCGCCGCCAGCTCCGCAGCGCCCCCGTCGCTGCTACCGGCCAGGGCGTCCGGTTGCGTGGCTTCCACAGCGCAACCGTCCGATGTGGCCGCCAGGGCTGCAGCTACAACCGCCGGCAACTCCACCCCCGGCCACGCCAGTAGCTGCGCCGCGCTGACGCGCTTGTGGCCGCCCCCCTCGATCGCCAGACCCCGCCACCGCCACACCGCCGGCGGCGTTGCCGCGCGCTCGAGCGCGCCCCGCCAAGCCGCCACCTCGTCCCTGCGTTCCGCGAGCGCCTCGGCCTGGCTGCTGCTCAGCAGGCCGGCCGCCTCGGCAATCGGCCCGAGCCTGATGTCAGCGTTGTCGGGCCGTAATCTCAGGCGGTACTCCGCCCGCGATGACATCATGCGGTACGGCTCCGAGGTGCCGCGGCCGACCAGGTCGTCGACCATGACCCCGAGGTAGGCGTCCGCGCGGCTGAGGATCAGCGGGGCGTCGGGGCGCGCAGCATTGGCGCCTGGTGGTGGGGGGACGCGGATGGAAATGTGCAGGCGGGTGAGGGACGCGACGGATCTGCGATGTTCCGCGGCCCCATCCCTCAGTGCGTCCAAGTGGATCAGGCTTGTGATGCAAACACACACACACACACACACACACACACACACACACACACACACACACACAATAATGACCACGGCGCCACGCGGCCAAGGCAACGCGCGACTTCCATGTGCCGAAGCGTTGCGTTTCTTGCACTGCCGCCCCACAGGCCTGCGAGTCCGCGTCCCTCTGGCTCCAACGCGAGGAAGTGCAGCGGCCGCCGCGCTCACCCGCCAGCAGGCCCTGTGCCGCCGCCTCCTCGTAGCCCGTGGTCCCGTTGATCTGGCCGGCCAGGTAGAGCCCCGCCACGCGGCGCGCCTCCAGAGTGTGCGTGAGCTCCGTGGGGACCACGTAGTCGTACTCCACTGCGGGCGGGGGTGGCGCAAGATGGGCCGCATCGCGTTGTGAGGGCGCACCCGGCTTGCAAGCGGGGCAGGGGAACTCGGCAGGCGCAGCGCGTCACGCAGTAAATGCGCACACGCATGCGGCGAAGCGCGGTTCCACTGTGCACATGCGCAGTCACTTGATACTCACACGCACATGCCGTCGCCACGCACGCCTGTGCCCTCAACCCGCTATCCTTGGCCACCTCCAACCACCCCCCAAGATCCACATCCCTCCATCACTGCCAAGGCCCTGCCCCGCACCTGCATACGCCGGCGCAAGCATGGCAGCGTGCTCCAGGCCGGGGATGGTCCTGAGCATCTCCAGTTGGTCCTCTGGCTCCAGTGAGCAGGACAGACCGTTTGGGTACAGCACATGGGAGTCCACGCCCTCCGGCTCCAGCCACACCTGGGGGTTTGTTGCGGTCGTGGCGCTGCGCCGCGTTGTGCGGCTGCTGCATGGCAGGTGCGTCGACGGGCGACAGCGACCTTCGGCGCTGACGGGCGGGTGCAAGCAAGCACAAGCGGCATGCACGAAACACCACGGCCCCGCCGGTGCCAAAACATTGGGTAAGGAGAGTTGCTGAGGATAGCGCACAGCCAGCTAGTCGTTAGGGATGCAGCTGTGGCCGGCCGCTCACCGCGTGCGTGCGCCCTGGAAAGCGCGCAACCTTGGATTCAAGAGACGGGCAGTACCTCGGCCCCGCGACGCCCTCGGGCGGCAGCCACCCGCGCCCCGCCGCCACGCAGCGCGCCACGAGCGCCTCCGTCGCCGCCGTCGTCCGCGCCTCCCAGTTGCAGCGCTGCGGCAGCCGCGGCCGCCAGCCCGGCGTCGACAGGTTGGCGAACGACAGCGGCACGGGTGCGTCGTCCGTTGGCTGCGGGGACATCCCGGAAAAGTCCACAGTCCGCGCGTCGAGCCGCGGCGGCGTCCCCGTCTTGAGCCGCCCGAGCCGGAACCCCGCCGCCGCGACCGTTCGCGCGAGCGCCGTGCCGCCGTGCGCGGCCGCGTCATCGGCGGCGTCGGTGGCCGCGTGAGAGGCCGCAGCCGGCGCCGCTGCTGAACCCGCATCCGCGGCTGCAGCAGCGGAATCTTTGAGGCGGCCGGCTGGGAAAGATTTCGAACCGATGTGGATGGTGCCTCTCAGGAAGGTGCCTGTGGTGAGCACCACGCTGCGCGCCAGCAGGCGCTCCCCTGGGAATGGAATAGGCAGCCGCGCGCCGTAAAACGGAGGTAATCGAGGGTCACATGACAGGGGCGTGCGTGGCGCAGCCTCAACCCGAGGTGCCAAGCGGCAAGCTGGCAATCCGCCAAGCAGATGCCCCGCATCGCGTGCCCGCCTCCACGCCGGCAAGCCTGCTCGCGCCCACCTGACGCCAGCCGCACGCCGCGCGCCGCCGCACGGCCGCCGGGCGCAGCCGCGTGCTCCAGCAGCAAATCATCCACCACGCCGTCCACCACCACCAGGCTCCCGCGACCCCCTCCTCCAAACGCAGCTGCAGCCGCCGTACCCGGACCGCCTTCAACGCTGCCGCTGCTGCTGCCGCTGCTGCCGCTGCTGCCGCCGCCGCTGCTGCTGCTGCTGCTGCTGCTGCCGCTGCTGCCGCTGCTGCCGCTGCTGCCGCTGCTGCCGCTGCTGCCGCTACTGCCGCTGCTGCCGCCGTTGGCGATGGCATAGATTGCCGCCTGCATCTCCGCCCTGTAGGCGGCGCGGTCCATCTGCGCGCGGGGCCCGCGCACTGCGGGGCCCTTGGCCGAGTTAAGTAGGTGGAACTGGATGCCGGCCGCGTCCGCCACGCGCGCCATGAGGCCGCCCATGGCGTCGACCTCGCGCACCAAGTGGCCCTGGGGTGATTGGGGGTTTGGTGGGTGCGACGTGCGAGTCGCGTGCGAGTGCAGCACGCCAACGCCGCCAAGACGTGCGGGGCGGGGGCGCCCATTTGAATGAGGCCCGCCGAATGCGTGGCCCGACGAGGAAGGGCAGCGGCGGCTGAACGCGCCGCGAGGGCGGGGTGGCGCCTCGTCGGCCGTGTGGGCGGTCAGGCCGATTCGACTCCTTGGAATGTGCTGCGGCGCACCTTTCCGACGCCGCCAATGCTGGGGTTGCAGCTCATGGCGCCGATGGAGGTGGTTGGACTGGGGGTCACTAGCAGCACGCGCGCCCCCCGCCGGGCGGCTGCGGCCGCGGCCTCGCAGCCTGCGAGGAGGGACGGGAAGTGCAGGGCAGTGCAGGGTCGTCCGGGCAGCACGTCTGCCGCTGCTGAGCTGCAGCCAGTCGCTGCCTGCTGCCGCGCTGGACGCTATAACCGCCGTGAGACATTCCTCTGCGGAGGCTGGCGAAGTCGCCCCGCATACGCGACTTGTGCGTGCTGCTGGCTGCGGCGCAGTGCCACGCTGGCGCATGTGTTGCCTGTGCACCTGCATGGCCAGCGCCCACGACCACAACGTCGGCATCCAGACCACAAGACGTAAAGCTGCGGCGCAAACTCGCTCCAAGCTTGGCCTTAAACCTCCCGGCGGCCTCGCGCCACATTACTTTCAGATCAGCTGCAGCGCGCGCACATGGTACCCATCAAGTACGAGTTCTACATGGAGAGTCTATCGGCTCAACATGACCCAGTAGCGAAGGCCCATTGCAAGGGTGACTGGGGTGAGCAAGGGTGACCAGTGCGTCAAGTGCCTGCTCCCTCATTCCCACGATGGTGCACACGGCACACAGCTGTGGCAACCCCAAAAACAACGAGCTAGTGCCTGTATTGTATGACACAATGATCTCACGGCCTCAATCGCTACCTGTTCATGGCTGTGTTGGCTGCTGGTCTCACCCATGTGAGGGGCTGGAGTGTGACATCAGCTAGCGGGTAGCGCCAGTGTTTTGGGGACCCTGCCATGGCAACACTGCAAGAACTGCCAACAGCAGCACCCAAAACATATTGCTCGAAGTCGTGGACACATACACCGTTGTTTCGTCCATCCGGGACCGCCGCCCACGCGCCCGCCATACTTAAACGCCCATCACGCTGCCTGTATTTGAAGTTCATTACCTGTTCAGTGGTTTATAATGCTTTCATGCTGACGCAGCGCTACTGAAGACAGCTACCAGATCGGTTTCCTGTGCAGCAGCATCATGGGCTCCATCGAGACGCAACCAAGCTTTGAAACACCAGCTTCACCTGATGGACGGCGCCTGGAGAGGCTGGTCAGCGTGGGCCAGGGGGGCCAGAAGGGCACACTGCGTGTGGCGTTTGCCCCTTTAGAGACTCAGGGCTCCATTGGATCGCCTACGGGCGAATCAGGATCCCATATGAAGACGCTGGGTGAGTGGATGCGGGAAGCAAGAGACAGTTGGAGCCACGGGGGCTTACGCTGGCGTTCCCAGCCAGCGTACCAGGCAGGGTCTCGTCCTCCCGTCCCACGCAGGTTTTGAGGGTGGCTGAATGTGAATGCATGGGCATTGCTGGCACGGCTCATACTGCTCAAGCCAAGGGCCATGTATGGTGGTGCTGCACACTGCCTGGTTGGCCCCTCTGGCCACCCGCCCCGTGGCGCCTCACCCCGGAACCCCCTCGCTGCATGCTCGCTCATATGCCTCTTCAGGCAAGGTGTGGCAGCGCAAGGTGCTGCAGGACCTGCAGGACACGACCCAGTGAGCCCCGGTCCCCTTTCACAGCCCCTGGTCATGGCGGCAGGGACACGCCCTGGCAGCTGGATGACGTGCGGCGGCTGGACGCGGCTGCACCGCACACGCACACCCTCCCCTGACCACTTTCCCCCGCCCGCCTTCCCCGCAGCTTCTCGTCGACGGAGCTGCAGGTGCTGCTCAATCACTTCAGCGCCCATAGCGACTGCGGCGATGACAAGCTGGACAAGGGGACCTTCTTCAACAGCCTGTCGCGGGGTGGGTGCAGGCGTGGGGATGCAGGGCTGCGCAGGGCGCATTGACGGCAGCCTGGCGAGGGTCGCATTGGGTGGCACCGATCGCGGGGCAGCTGCTGCTACACTGTCATGAAACGCGTAGGCAAACCGCTGGTTGCTCCGCAGCAGCTTGGCGGGGGCGCAGCGTGGCCGCGCCAATCGCTTCTGGTGACGCAGGTTGCTTGTCACCTGACCCCGCTGCCTGGGTCCTAGACGGCTTGTGGTGTCCACATGGCTTGTGGTCGCGCTCATCTGCCTCGTTTCGGGCACTCCAAGCACCCTCCTGTGCCCCAAAC